AGAGGAACCTCTATAAATTTATTTGGAGGCAGGAGTTAAACTAAGGTGTCTGGTGCAAGTTTGGCATAGTGATATTCCAGATATAGAGAACATTTAATCAGAGTGATTTACTACTGGACCAAAAAAGAAGAAAAAGGTGAAAAAGAGACCATGAAAAAAGGACAGTGGATACATGGGACAGGAATCCAGGAAATGCAGAGTCTAAGATCATAGTTAGTGAGAAATTGAGAGTGAGGTGGAAACACTCGAGAATCTGTTGAAGGGAAGCAGCATGAAAATAATTTAGTTTAACTGCATAGTTACAGCACAAAAAGTAAAAGAGGCCAAATAGATTGGAAAGTTGGAAAGCAAAGAGATCAAGCAGCAGGCTTAAACAAACAAAAGAGAATACTTTTCCCTCAAAGCACGTAATTCAATTCAGAAACTTGTTGCCAGAGGTTATTGTGAAAGCTAAGATGATAAATGTTTTGAAACAGGACTGGACAAGCAGGTGGAAGATAAATACACTGTAGTCCAAAGGAAAAGTGCAGTGGGACCTTTGGTCTTACACATTGTAGGAGATCTTCTGTTTGAAAATACATTTCAAAATACTAACAAGGATGTAACTTGACCTTTCCATTGCCTTTATTTGCAAAAAAATAGCTCGCTCAAAAAAAAAAAAAAAAAAAAAGAGGCTGAAACCAAGGCAATAATACATTGTGCCACTTTTTATTCCCTAGATACTGAGTTACTGGCTCAATAGCTTTCAACTGTTAAATATAATTAGGGCAGTAAGAACTGCCTTGACCACCCACAGCTGTTGATTTATATTAATTTCCATACTGCTTTGATAGATAATTGATACATGACACATTATAGCTCTGGATATTTCGATTAATGGAATGCGTGTCTTTAGATTGGCAAATCAGGATATTTCACCAAGGTACTTTATTTCAAATAGGTCTACAAATTATCAAATGTTGCTGTTTCCATTAGGAAGGCTTCCCAATGATGTGGACTTCTGTCACCCAGACAATGTGATGTTGAACAAAGTCTTCAGCAGTGACATCCAGAGGTTACGAATTACTGCTACTTACATAATAGCTGTGTCTTCAGTTTACAAAGGACCACCTTCTTTCTCAACTCCAGCTAAATCAATGCAGTTACTACCTAAACTCTGCAAGTAGAATCTATGTTTTTGGGTTAAGCATCATAAGTTTGACACCTAGCTCTGTTTACTGATGATTAATGACTAGTATTTGGACAAAGGTAAACAAAAACTCGTAATAAATAGGAAGACAGTCAAAATTGCCTGCGGCCCGTTACCAAAGAAAGGGTGTGATACGTCTAGCCAGAATGTGCCCTCAAAAAGCACTAAGCTCGTGAATTAGAATACAGAAATGACAAGAGCTCCAGGCATTAGAGCTTGTGCCTTTGATACTGCACAAGACGAGTGTTTGAACCAACTATGTATCTTGCCTTTGTACTGCTGCCTCTAAACTCTGACTTTGTGCCCACCTTCCTGCTTCATGAAGTGTTCTCTTGACGTTTCTTTTTAGTAACAAAAGTTAAGAAAATTGAAATTACTAGCTGTATTGATTCATGAAAGCAGCATGAGCGTATTTAATAACTCATGCCTTTTACCTCATTCAAATATATTTAATTTCCTGAAGTCTGATTTCTTAAATTATACTACAAATCTAAAAGGCTTTTTATATTATTGGATACTAATTATATTGGACAGATTGCCTTTCACATACTTATAGCAATATTTATTTCCACTGCCATCACTTAACATCAAAACAGTATTACCTCATCATCATTTACAGTAGAACAAACACTACTTTTCTGTATAATTTTTTGTCTAAGTTGGTCCAGTTAAAGGCAAGAGACAGTCTTTGCTTGGCTTGTATGATTAATATGCATAAATATTTTGCTTACTCTTAATCTCTAATTATGATAAACTATACCTTCAATTTTTAGGAAAGCTTCTCTCTACACTAAAGCTGTCTAAATCTCTGAATTAGGAAGATAATTTCAGAAATTGGAAGAATTAGTAGACTGAATCCAACTGAGAGGGGGATTTCATGTGGGGAAAAAAGGTACAGAAGCCAGATGAAACCTTCACAATCTTAAAGGGAAATACAGAAAATCTCTTGAAATAGAAGTGAAAAAAAAGGAAATAAAAAAAAAAGAGGAAATGACAGTATGGATAAGAAAAGGAAAGCTGTGAATCAGGCTATACTCTCCTGCCTCTGCACAGGATACCTTCCACTGATGTCCTCTACCTTCTCACAAGCTTGCCTGGAAAAACTGAATCAGCTACAGTATCTCTCTAAACATAGGCACAGGATTATCCTTCTTTCTATCACCGCAACTACTCTGGGCTTGAGAATTTCCTAGAAATCCTATTAGCTGTTTTAACAACTGTGAAGCTGGACTCACAGAGGCTCCATCGAGGCAGTAGCTGCTAGCACTCATGCCCTTTATTCCTTACTCCTTTCAGAACTAGTAGGCCACTTTTCCTAAACCTGAGTTCGTTGACCTACAATTTAAAAGACTTAAAAAGAATCTCTTGTGAAGAGATTCCCTCCTCATGCAGATGCCTCCTCTCCCACATCTTTGTGAATGTACCTCCCCTTATGTTAAATTTGGCATGTATTTGTATTAGAAACCTAACATTCAAGGTAAGGAGGCATACTTATATGATAAATCAGCTTTAACAAAGGAGTAGGACCAAAAAGATTGCATCAACACATTAGGCACAGGGGAAAGTATGAGAAATCAAAGGATATATTTAGGAAGACACAGAAAAAATTAATCCTCTATTAAATGGAAGAACGCATCTCAGAAAATGATAAAAAGTAGGTTTGCTAGCCCCCAGAGAGAGAGGGAGAGGATACTGTATCATGTGGGGAAGATTATATTTCACTAGAGACATTTGTGAATGTAATGAGCTAAAGAAGGGGTAAGGCACTGCTTAAACTGATCTAAACAACTGATTGTGCTACACTTGATATTTGTGTCAGCCTCCTCTACACTTAAACTTAACGACTCTGAAATGCTGCAAGTTGTTAAGCACTAAACATCATCCCATACTCTATCACGCTACTCTCATTGTTTCAGAAACCTTGGAAGCACCTGACATTTACCTTCTCTAGTTCTAAGACTGGCATTGAAGAAATGCAATTAGGAACACTCCAGTCCTCATAACAGAAAAGGTCAGCAATGTGCAAGCTAAAGCTGGCCACACACCTAATGTGGTGCCAAACATAACAGAATGCCTTCCTGGTAACGAATCGTTTACAGAGTGCCATGCAGTTGTTGTAAGATAATCAGATCAACAGGGGGCATGCCACTCTGTGAAAGATACATAGGAGATCGTGAAATATTCTTTGATACAGGTATATTGCAAAGTCATCACTGATGGGAAAAATCTACCATTATAAAAGGCCATGTTTTCAGAAATAATCACACTAATAAATTGGGCAGAAAACACAAACGACAGAAGTTTAAACATTTGGCAAGCGCTAAAGCCATTACTTCATCAAAGGCAGTGCAACTCTGTGCCAGCAGCCAGCAACCTATACAACACCACCTCTGGGATGTAAAAAACATTTTTTCTTTCACTTTTCTTGTAGCAATCAATGTAAGTAGATGTTAAAGGGTTTAGTTTTTCTGTTTGTCTTTAATACAGAAATACTCACGCAGCGGTACAGGCTCTTGTGTTCCTCATGCAAAGACCTCCTCCTTACTTGTGCCACTAATCCTACATAAACTAATACTGAACTTTAAGAAAAATGAAAAGTAATCTATGGAGTTGTTTTTGATAAATGACATTTCATCAACAGTGCCAAAAAATAACTCATTACTGAAAGCTGAAAGTAGCCCTTATTAGGAGTTTTCTGACAAATACCTGAAGGCAGGTTAAACCTTTAGTGAAAAATGATTTAGAGACCTTACAAACACCAAAGAAATGTATATTTGCTACACCTGAATTCATCATAAGCAAATACAATCTATATAGTTTGCATGTCTATTTACAAACTATAATTTTTATTAGATTGTTTCATATTATTTTGTCACAGCTATAAGAAGTAGTATTTTTTAAAAAAATGAGGAAGAAAAAAGTACTGTAATGAACTGCAGTGGAGTTTTTGTCTCTATATTCACTTACGTTAAAATTCAAGTTATAGAACTCATAATCTTCTAGGAATTATCACATACATATATGTGATGAGAGAACATTATGCTCTGAGAATACCAGCGCTATATTGCAAAGCTGTATTAAATGCAAAAGCTAAGTTTGTATTATACTTTCTCCTACACTTCAGTTATATCAAACTATTTCATGAACAATGTAAAGCCAGCTACTGTTTTCATGTAACACATTGTTGCTTAATTAAGGAAAACAAAGTCAACAGTAATTTAGTGCAAAACTTCCTATTTTTCAATTTTATTGAAGTAGTATCATGAATTTAGGACATTACATATTTTTGGGGCTTGACTGTAATGATAGGCGAAACGATGATCAGCTAACTTGTATAAGAATTTTCCCAGTGGCAGGGTATAGCTTGTGTGAAGAAAAGTATCTGATGTCCTGTCTTTGGTAGTCTACAAAAAACTAAACAGTAAAACCTAAAGCACTTATCTGTTTGGTATTTCCATATTACCCTTCACATATCCTTTTGTAACCAGCTTTATCTGAACAGTGTGTGCCTGAGGCAAGTACTTATAAAACAGTACCAACACACTGTAAAACATTTTTACGGGTGCTTACTCTGCAAAAAGTTCACAACACAAGTGAGTATATTTTGTTTAAACTGTATGAAGAGAGATATGCCAACAAAAGTAAGTAAACACACTCCCCACAGCCAGATGACAGTGTCAATAAAAGTGCAATTATACTTCCTGTTTTTCTTGTTATTCTTTTGGTAATAATCATAAGCAACTGTTAGTATTTCCCTTGAAATGCTACATATGCATAACATGCACCAAAAAACTAATGAGAACACACTCACCATGTACTATCAGAACATATTCTGTGCTGTTTCGGCCAATAGGATTTTTTGCTTCACATCGGTATGTGCCATTGTCTGTTTTGTTTAGGAAACTGATGCTTAGGACCCTGCCATTGACAACCATCCTTTCTGGATCTGGCAGCTCTCCACCATCCTTTGTCCACAGTACTGGTTCTGGCCTGTTGGATCCAAGCAAACATGTTTAATCAGATACATGAAGCATGTATAGCAACATACACATCAGAAACAGCAGCACATACGACTCGTAACCTGCCATCAAAGAATATTCAATGACCATTTGAGTTACTGGATATAATGAACTGTCACTATTACAACCTCACCACCCCAGATGAGAACAACTAAAGAAAGAGAAAAAACAAGCAGGGAAAAGAAGAGAAACAAAAAAGGAAAACGAATGGTAATAGAACATGCCAAGATCTTTCCTAAATTAAAAGGTAGTTCTCATGAGGTTTCAGGGCCTGGAGTTTTGCAAGACACTTGGCAAGCTAAGTGAAAACAGCTTTCTGTTTGTGTGATGAGCAATATGGTCCTGTGTGGCTGACAGGCAACAGAAGCCATGCAGGCAGGCTGAGGGAGATGCCAGTGGTTTGTAAATGCATTCTAAATTTATTTAGGCCATTCACATTCACAAGTGCACTTCACCTACTGAATGTTTTTCCTGAACCAGGCCTACCAGTCTCAAAGTAGCCTTACGCAATTTAAATTTGTTTCTGTTGCTACATTGTGTTACAGCCCATCCCTTTTTCCACCCTTTCTGCACCCTTCCCTCAAATAATTGCTTGTTATGCATGTTATCACAAGCAATATAAGATTTGACAAAACCCTGGATTTCCTTCTTTTGTGAAACCTTTCCTTTTGTGCCTCATGATCTCGCATCAAATGGGCCAAACACAAAGCACTGACAGTGATAGCCCCCTGGGCACGTTAATGGCACCACAGAGAAGGGACTCACATGGACCTTCCACTGGCAAGCAATACCCAACTCTTTCCTAAAGACTCTCAAGCAGCACCACAGCTCATGAGATTTACCCAACCGACAGCAGGACATGTATATGACTGGCATGCAGTGTTCACTTACACATAAGATCTACTCTCAAATTTACATGAAGGAAATCACCAAAAAGACAGGTTCATGACTGGGAATGAGATGCTGGCTGACTGAATCCTGACTATCTCAAGGAGGCAGAGCATCTCAGGTATTTGGATACTAGTCACTAAAGCAAGATATATACAACCTGGGGATTCACTGCTGCATTACTTGTATCTGGTACCTTTGTACACTATAATCCAAATATGAATCTCTTTCTTTTCTGTACACTACTAAAATAATTTCAGTCAGAAGCAGTTCTAGATTTGCACAATTATTTGGTAGGAAAATGTTACATTATAATTTCCTGTCAAAGTATGCAGTTATATGACTAAGTAATAAAAGAAAACATATAACACTGCTGTAAAATCAGCAGATGCCAAATAATAACTTGGCACTAGATTTACCCAATAAATACTTAATATGAGTAATTTAAATTACAGGTGTTTAAAGACTATCACATGTAATAAGTGTTAAGAATAAGAATTAAACCTAAACACCTAAGGAGAGCTATTTTGCCTAAATGTGGCCTCACGCACAGAAAAATAGTCTTAATGATTGCAATGACAGTCTTTCTTTTAAGTTAGGCAAGACATGTAAACAAAGTGACTGTTTCTGAAATGTGCTTACTTGCTATGTAATTTATATTAGTTTTTAAACTGAAAATACGATCACTTATGCTTCTCTTGAAAGATAAGAAATTTATACAAATTTTAGTAACATCTGGATGACACCTTGTTAAATTGTTATTGAACCTGTTACCTAGACTGTCTCTTCTTTGAAGTTATAAATTTTTTTAGAAAATCACATCCTTAGAGAATACAATTCACATAATTTTTAACCAAGGATTAAGAATTGTTGGTGTAATGTGCCTTATGTGCCTTATTTATACCTTATTGTAGATATATGTCTTAATACTCTTCCCAATTACACTTCCAGGAACTGGTATCTAGATCCATGACACACAATATACACATTCCCTTTCTGCTGAATGCAAGCAGGGAACCTAGACATCCATGTTGTTGCAGAAACATTGCCCTACTGAGCTCATAACATTAAGGTGCAATTTGCTTTGATATGTTGAGGTGGATTTGTTCAAAATTCTAGCACACTTCTCATTGTTCCCTATTTACCATCTTACTGTGGATCTCTAATCCCAGGAGTAGAAACTTTGAAACACTTCTGCTACAATGTGCACCATTACCTTCATAAACGGCCTGTTAAAGCAACTTCTGTGCAGTGGTAATTTATGGAACTTACATTTTAAATTGAAATTAGATGGCATATCCAAGGGGAAAACCCACAGGATAACAAATAAGTATGAAATGGAGCCTTAGCTATAAATTATTCAGGGAGCTTTGTCACATTGTAATATACCCAACTCTACTCTTATATAGATTGCTTAGCTGTGGTTCCAAAATGATGGTGGCAGAAAAATCACAGACTCGAGAGAGGTAGATCTATATACTTTGGGCATCGGGGAAGCTGCTAATTAACAACTAATATTAAGCCATCCTCTGCTACCTTAGTGGCAACAGCAGAGCAATTCCCGGGCAGCCGGCCCATGGTCAACACATCGTGGTGGCCAGGCACAGCACTTTGTCTCACCACTCTCCAGGAGGAGGGTGCCTAAAGCAGCAATCCTTGTTGCAGCCAGAAAATTAAATTTTGCCTGCACTGACGGGAAGCTTTGAGATACTGGTCTAAACAATTCATTAATTGGACAGAAGCGAGCTAAGAACATGAGACATGCTGATGCACAGGCCAGCACGCCGCTGTGGTCAGAGACAAGGGGAGCGGCTGTCTAAGGAAAGCATGTGAGTGAGTGTGGCCACTTTTTGTGGTCCATTCCTTCTGTACTCTGCCAGCATCCACAGACATTCTCTCAGGGATGCTGAAGGTCAAATATCTTGTTCTTTTTTTTGTAACTTCTTAATATTTAGACCTGTTGCCTATGAATGTCTCTAATATTTTTTTGAATTTGCTTATAGTGTCTGTCAGGCCAGAATCCTACGTCAATGAATACTGGAAGTTCCCTAACTGCTGCGTAAAAACATTTTTACTTCTATCTGTCTTACACTGATCTCCTAGCAGTGGCAATGAATATTGAAGGATATGGTAAGTGACACTTCTTCATATTATAACTTTATTATAAGTTATGATAGTTGTATATTTAGCAGGCCACTCTCTCTCCCTCTTTCTCTGTTTGAATATAGCATCTTCTGAGATCATTGGCAGGGGAAAACAAACAAACAAAAAAGAAAAAAAGGGTAAAGGAACTGTAAATTCCAACATATTACCTTTTCCTTGATAATTGCCTTAGAACCTTCATTGTCCAAAGCAAAAATGCAGCTGCAACACTGCTGAGGAAGCTTTCCTTCTGTGACACAAGGCACAGAGAAGGGTGAATTCCCCATAGCTTATCCTATCGAAACATGTTCAGGGGTGCAGATTCAGACAGAGGTTCTTTCTCTTGCCCAGCATTTTGAAAGGGTTCTGGCTCAATAGGGTGATATTTAGATTTGACATTCTAAAACACATATTAGACTCCTAACATTGCACATTTTTCTCTATTGTATACATCTCCAATATTGCAGAATTTCAGCTTTTCTTCACATACTAAAGAATCGCCATAATGCTATCTATCACCGTAGGGACTGGAAGAAACAGGGTATTCCTGTACCTTGTGCTTACTTTAAGGTGAATCACACCAGTTTAATCCCCATTTTTCTCAGACAATCCTGAAAACATCTTTCTCTGAGCACAATAGCTATAAAGTCAGAATGAGCACTGTGGCCACTAATGCAATTGCACATTATTACCTTCACACATTTCATGGCATGAACAAGCTCACTGACCTGCTCTGTCCTAACAGAGGCACGCAACCTGCTAGCCCCAGTGCAGTCACCCAGAGAACAAGTCCCTCCTCCCTTTTTTCCCCTTCTTGGATTAGAGATGCTTTTCTATATCACTCTAATTCCTCCCAGGTGGATGCAGTTAAATGGAAATAAGCTACGCTACCACTGAGACCCTTCATTGGGTTGAGGACCATAGCAGAGCTGAAGCATCAAGGTGCTGTCTTCTTCCCCAAAGCACAGCTCAGCTTCTGGCTTACCTATTCTCATTTTCTCCCAGTGGAACAACTTTCAAACCAAAACCAAACAAATTAAGCATGCTGTACTGAAGAAATTCTTTCAAGGACACAGCCCAACTGTGATAGCCCATGCTATTTCTTTGACTAGTACGTTTTAGTTTTACTGATTCGGCTTTGCAGGCAGCTGCCTGCAGCAGCACTATCAGGACTGCCTTAAATAAAGAAGCCAGAGATATTAATCATAAGCGTACCAAAAATCCTTAACTATGGCCAATGACTTCTCCGCTAGCCCCTCAAAAGAAATTTGAACTCTGCACTCTCTCTGAAGAACTGCTAAATGGGCTTAGAATTCAGTATCATTTCTATTTAATTCTAGTAGAAAGGCCTAGAAGCTTTAAGTAACTGACTTGAGAAAAGGAAACTGGTTTTTGGTATAAATAAATGATTGTTAACTGTCTTCCTGTTGGCCTCAGAACTCGACATAAAAAGCAACATTTTTTTTCCAGTCAAATTGAAATGAGACTGCAATGATGATATAAAAAAACTAATTTCATGTTCCAAGATGGATACGTTATATATTGTGAAACAACAGTTTTCTTGCAAGTGATTTAACAAAGAACTTATAAGTAAAGCAAAATTATTTTTTAATCCTGAGGCTAAGAAACCGTTTCTTCTGAAATAGTCAGAGAGAAAGTTAAGGGCAAACTGCAATGTGTTGGGAGAAAAAAAAAAAAAGTTTCAAAAATGAGAGTCAGATTTGATTAGAAGAGAACACATAAAAGTATTTATGCATACAAGTATTTATGAATACAAGAAGTAATAAGTAATTATGCAACATGAAAGTCAAGAGTTAACATTTAAGTCCATGTTAATATTTTTTATAATCTAGGCCTTTAAAGTTACACCGTAGTGTTTTAAAATGTGTTTGTTAATTTTCCACCCTTTCCTCCATCCTTAACCATTGGACTGTGATGTTT